AATGTGTGTCTTGTTGTGTGCCATCACTATAAGGGATTAGAGTATACTAAACTTTAGACATTATATTTTAGTTATATTATAGTTTCTTTAACTATTACACATGATGTACGTTTTTTAAGGGGGTGGTTAATGAAAGTGTTCCAAAATGCGACATTAATTTCTTGACGACCTCATATTTATATTGTTAGATATTCTACTAAACTTGTCATATTGTATGAAACTGTTGTATATTTAGATATTACAAAGACCTGAATAACTTATTGAATCAGTTTTAGTCACTGTTGGGAGGTCAAGTTTCATATTCTTTCTGGATTTTTTTAATGTAAACATTTTAAAATTGTTATACTACTAGTTTCTGTGTGATTTGGATTCCTGCAACTTTGGTTGTGTGGAACTGATTATAAAAAAAATTAAGTAAAATGTAGTTTTATTCCATGCATTAACACTTAAGTTTTTAGTTAGTTATGTTGATACTGTTTTCGTTCCCAGTTTACTACTGATATGTTGAAGGTTATTGTACTATAGTATTTTTAATGTATTTCTGACATTTTTCATACTAATCTTGTGTTATAAATTGTATAGGTTTGGAAATTCAATATTTCTTTTAAAGCTTGAAGATAAATGTGAAAATTGTCATTTACTTCCATTGTTTTATTAGTCGATCCATGACCAGTAGCATGTCATCTAGAAAATCCAGTATCCCAGTGTTTTCAAGTCCCAAAAAAGAAAAAGGTAATGGATAATGGCTTACACACATTAATGATTGACAGAAAGAATTATATTGTCTTAAATCTTTTTTTTTTTTTTTTCATTTATAAAATGCCTTGCATATTATTATTTTAAGCATATCAAAAGAAACTCTTTTATAGGCTTATAGACAGTTTTGTACTTGTGTTTTCCTGAGAAATTCTTTAAACTATTCATTTTTTTCAATCAGATGTGTATTAGTTATAATATGAAACATATTAATGTATCCATTATAAATCTGCAGTATAGGTTTTATTACTAAATAGTTGATCAGGCCATGATATATCATTAGGATGTAATAAAGCTGTTTGACCTCCAAAGGGGCATTTATCTAAGTAAGATTTTTCATACATAACATATTTTTATGTTGCTCATTTTTATAATAAATTTGCATGAGTGATTGATTAACAATAATATTTTCTTATCCATACACTTTTAATTCATTTGAATTAGTTTATCATACAGTTTTTCCAATTCACAAGTAACCATTTTTTACAAACTATTGAAGCTATAATGTGAATTGTTATTTACCTTGTATTATATTTCTTGAAAAATTGTTTTCTTAAGGGTGTTTCAGTTTTCCATTCTGTAAAAAGGGTGGTATGATACTGAAGGATTGAGTCTGTTTAGAAACTTGACACACATTAAATTCACACTACAGTTATATTTCAAGTTAACTATCAATGAATTAAATCGTTGAAGGTATTTCAGAAAGCTCAACAGTCATTCGTACAAACTGAGGTCAACAACAAATTTAGAGAAAAGACAACATCGTTATAATGAGTTTAAATAGACTTTTTATTCATTTGATATTGAACACATTTTAAATGCCATTGAAAAACTTGTGACAAAATTCAAACAAACATTCATTGGAATAAAATAACCCAGATAATATCATTACTAAGACTGCATTAGCTAGACCTTTTATTTTGTTTTTTTGTCGTTTTTTCACCTAACTTTAACTTGATTGACTTTCTTCCTCCTTTTCCAATATATGTACAAAATCTTAAAACATGAAATTCTGGAACAAAAGTGACTTAGCTTTTAACACAAGAAGGACACAAAGCAGTTTTGCTTTATATTTACTTCACAAATACAAGTACAATAGGAAGCTTTCTGTTCTTAGTTCCTCTGCATTGTGTTCATTATTAAAGTTGGAACTATATATAAATAACATCTGTGTATCTTAATCCGATAAAGGAAATGGAGTAATTCTTCTTAATAAGGAGGATTATTTTATTACAATGTATTACATTTGTAATGACCACACCATATTTATGAAACTTTCTTTGGACCTAAGTACTTCAAAAAATTGAATCTCTAAAACAAATTTTCTTGTTTTAAAGAAAAAAAAATGTTACTTCTGGTAATGTATACAATAGCATTTAAACTATTTAGTCCTGTCCATGTGATCTGGCCCGGCATGGCCAGGTGGTTAGGGTGCTCCACTCACAATCTGCGGGTCGTGGGTTCGAATCCCTGTCCAACCTAACTAGCTCACCCTTTCAGAAGTGGGGGCATTATAATGTGATTGTCAATCCCACTATGCATTGGTGAAAGAGTAGCCCAAGAGTTGGCAGTGGGTGGTGATGACTAGCTGCCTTCCCTATATTCTTTCACTGCTAAATTAGGGA